TACCAAATAAGCCAGGTTTATTTCAGTTAGTCTGACTTATTGTCAGTTGCTTTGGTTCAAAATAAGTCAGACTAATTGAAATAAGCCTGGCTTATTTGGTAAACTAGTTTTATGAAACAGCCCCCAGGTTTGCTTTATAAGCCAGCTGTATTGTTTGTGGTTGCTTTTAATGTTTAATAAAGTAATAATATACAACAAAGAGCACAACCAGGCAAAAAAACAGACCCTCTAGTGTGTTAGCAATATTAAAAAAAATATGCTTGTAAATAATTTAAGTGAAGTAAATGCATTAACTTAACCCATTATACACTGAAAGTACAATGTTTTTGTATTCACAACTTTAATTTCCATGAAAAACAAGGCAGCATTAAAATGTAACTGGATTGTTTTGAATGAATATTAATGTTGAAATGTCACTTACAAATTCCAGTCTATTTTAGTGCTGCTGCCCAACATGCCCATCTTGTGCTAGTACAATACAAAAGATCAGCAAGCTCTCCATAAATTACAAGTAAATCTCAGGAATGGAGCAGCTTGTTAAGAAATACTAGGACATAGCACGAAGATCCTTAAGACCAATATATCTACGGAAAGCCCTGAGATCAAAAACATGACAACTGAACCGTGAAACACAGCGGGAGTTTGGTCATATAGGGCTGTAACTGGTTTCTGCTATAAATGATTCTGCCACTCACACATCAGTCAGAGCTGTGATTTGCTTTCCTGTTCCCCAGTGCAGTTAATCCTGAACCGAACGTCTCATATGTGTGTGTTTTTAGCCGCTGATCACACTGGAAGGAAGTATTTCACACACATACACACGAGAGGGACCGAACTCTGTCACAGTACAGGTGTCAGCAGGAGGCACAGTCCTACAGGACGTGAAAATCATCACTGTCAAAGGTGAAGACCTCCTGTTGTTACAAGCATTGCAGTGTTCTTTGAGATACAGAATGTGGTATTTTTAGTTTCACAGAGACATATTCAGAATTAAGAGGAATTTTTGGCAGAGTTTCATCTCTGTTCCCATCCATCCATATTCTCTCGTTCCCAGATTTCTTCCGTTCTTTACTGCTGTCGTTCTCTCCTAACCTGGAAGAGCACAACCCATCCATTGCCGAATGGAGACAGGACGTGGGGCGCGTTGTCAGGGCAACACTCTCTCAGGTATACTGACTGTAAAGTCCATCATTAGTTCCTGTTGGAGTGCTCTGTTCATGTCAGTGAACTGCTGAAAGAACTCAAGAAATTTCTTGAAAGGCTGCTGATAGCTCACCACGCTTCCTCTCTCTTCAGCTATTCTCTTTCCTCTCTCTCAAACGCTGCTGGTTTAAAGCCTGATGGCTCTTTCTGGGCTCTCCAGCGAGGTTCGTTTTTGGCTGAGAGGCTTTACGTGCTCTCACGCATCCATCTGATTTCCCCTCAGTCTGAGAGCGAGAGATAGGGTAATGTACTGCTACTGGCGAGAGTGAATCACAGGAGTTCGGAGTGAATATTGATGCGGCAACAGAGAGACTCTAAAGCAAGTCAGCCAATTAAAGAACAGAGCCAAAGAACTGCTCCGCAGAACTCCATTACAATTAGTCGCTTAAGCACAAATATAATGGTCTCCCAATACTTGAACAGAGTGCTTTCAATACAGTTACACAACATCATATCATAAATATTACAACTATCCTGAGATTCACTGAAATTACTTATGATTTGCAAACATTAACTGAGATATTATTATGTGCAAACGGGCATGAAATGATTGACTAGCTTTTACGCATGAATTAGATCCTGTCATGAATGTTGCATGCTGATAAAATTTGTTTAATGTTTACTAGCATATGAGAAATGTGTGGGTAGCACTTTATTTTACAGTCCTGTTACTCATGTACATACTATGTGTTTATTATAGTAATTACAATAACTAGGTGATAACTAGGTACTAACCCTGAACCTACCCCTAAACCTAACCCTACCCGATGTAGTTACCTTATATTACCAGTACTTTCTTATGTAGGTACACTGTAAGTACATGTAAGTGCACGTACTGTAAAATAAAGTGCAACCAATGTGTGTTTATCTGTGTGTGTTTTTCTCCAGGTTTGTGGCTTCCCTGAGGACCAGCTGTTGGTCTCTGTGTTTCCTGGATCTCCAACTGCCGCTGAGCTCTTTATCCTACCCGAGACAAACCAGTCAGCATTCAGATCATACACAGAGGAACAGCTTGATAAGGCAAGAACCACACACACACACACACACGCACACATATTGAAACAAAATGTTTTGCTATGATCCCCCAAATCACTGCTGAAAGCTACAAGCACTTACTTTAAAAATGTCATTGGCTGAATTGTAATGCCCAACAACCACAAAGAGAAATAAAAACTCCAGTTAAATTTGTACTTGACAATAATTCAAATTTATGCTAAAACCAGCAGTATTTTTTTATTGCATTCTCAGTTTATGTAGGGTTATGACCTACAGCTTTCCGAAATGAAAAATGTAGTATGATCATTTTAAATGGCATACAAAAGATTCATATTCACAATCTTTATGAAACTAAAGCTTTTTGCAGCCTTTATAAATATTTTTTAATAACTCAAATAGACTACAGTTCAAATGTTTGGGATCAGTATGATTTGTTTTTTTAAAGTTGTTTACAAAATTTATTAAGCAAGGATACATTCAATAGCTTAAAGGACAGTAACAACATTTATAAAGTTACAAAAGATTTTTGTTTCAAATAAATGCTGTTCTTTTGAACGTTCAATTCATCAAAGAATCTTGAAAAAAAATGTTTTCACAAAAATATTAAACAAAAATATTACACTACTGTTTTCTACATTGATAAAAATAAAAAAATGTTTTTTTGAGCACCAATCAAAAAGATTGCTGAAGGATCATGTGACACTGAAGACTGGAGTAATGGCTGCTGAAAATTCAGATTTGCATCACATGAATAAATTACATTTTAAATTGTGATAATATTACGAACCCCAAACTTACCAACCCCAAACTGAATGGTAGTATACTGTATGTCCACATGTTGAAATAATTACTTTTTTGTTGATTTTTTTATTGATTTTAGTAAGTGAAATCATTATTCACACACATGTACTGCTTTAATGTTGTAACACTGCATATTAAATATTTTATAAAATAATATGATAGATTGAAACAAGGCTTTTCCACTTAGCTCGTCACTATTTTAACTCTCCTATTCCTCGTCATTACTGTCACCATCATCGTTCTCTTGTTTCAGATGTCGGAGGTCTTCATGAACGCTTTAAATCAGAACCTGATCCAGTTTGATCTGAAGCCTGACACGCGGGTCACAGTGTCTGTGTCTCAGCTCACACTGGGTAAGACCTGAAATCAAGCATAGCGTTAGTTCTGGCAGGTCACGTTAGTCAAGCTCGCATCAGCTGACTCTCAGCTGATGTCCCTCAGTATTATCAGCAGTTTTCGCATTGCTCAATAGCTAATTACTCTCCTCCATCCCCAGCTCCTCCTCTGTCAGTCGGGATTCAGCCTTCTGATTATCCTTTAAATCAGACTCATTCTAAAATGTGTACATAAAATTATTGAACTTTAACAATATCTGCAATACATTTATGTTGGTTCTCTTCTGTTTACCCTGGGGGGGTTATCGCTGCTCTCCCTGCTCTCATCCATGCTAGGCTGCATGGATGCACAGGGAGTTCTTGCCCAGAACAGAACCATACCGCCAATCCAAACTGTATGCTAATTGTCAATCATCTTTGATGATAGTGGTCCTGACAGAACAAGTTTCTGTTCTTAAGATTTTAATCAATGTTCTCTGACAACACAAAATGCATTGCACTGCTTCTGTCTGTGGTTATAGGGCTCATTAGGCACTGCTGTCTGTGGTTGAGTTACATTAGCCCCTTTCACACAGTAATACCAGTAAATTGCCATAAAATTACCGGAACGACTTTACCGGTAAATTAAAAAATGCGCTGTTCACACAGGCAATGATGTTCTGTCTTATTTCCAGTAAAGCACCATTCACATATCATTTTCAAAATACCGGTAAATTCTGTGACATCATTAACTGGAAACGCCCTTTAAACAGCTCCGCTTCCCAGTGTTGTGTTTGTAAACATGGAGAGGTGTATATGCAGGTAGTGTTTTTGTTGATGTTTTCACTTTTGTGTCAAAAGTTCATATTCATGCCGCTGCTTTTGTCCCAGAGGCATCGTATTAAAAGTAATCTAACATTTCTTTGACTTCCGTAAACAGCGCGGAGTAAATGCATCATCTGCTTCAGAATGTTATGATTGACCCAGTAGATGTCTTGCATCAGCTCGTTCTGAACTCGTATGTGCTCATACCGGTAATCTTGTGCTGTAATCACACAGAGCACATTACCGGTAATTTACTGGTAATTTTACAACTTCTCATACCGGTAAATTGCCGGAATGAATTTACCAGTATTTCTGAAAAGGTCCTGTTCACACATGATCTCTTAACGGTAATTTACCAGTAATGTGTGAAAGGGGCTATTAACTGTCTACTGCATTGTGATCTGCATTTAATTGCTGCCTCTTTGTGGTAAATTACAGCGCTGTCTGTGGTTATGTGAGGTGACTTTATGCTTCTGTGGTTACATAAAGTACACTACATGATTATTTTGCTTACGATCCATTGTGTCAAATACCTCAACCTTCTCTTGGTGCTAGAAAACCTAGAGAACAGATACTCCACCCTGGACTTTAGATTAATATTGATAATGTGGAGCCTGTCTGAGCATGACCAATATAGTGAGTTTGAAATGATATTACAGGATCATAAAGAGTGTCTCTCTGCCACATATAATTCTACCCTTTTCAGACACGGCCATTTGTCTTCATTGCTCCAAACAGGAAAAGGTTCAGATTGCCTCCTGCATTCTGCCGAAAGGTCACAATCATCATGCGTCAACCCTCAAAGGGCTGAAGGATGGACTGCAGCGTGTGTGTGTGTGCAGTGAACGAGTGAGACAGTTTTTAGAATTACTGAAATGGATATGCCTCTCACACATCAGACACGCTCTGAGAGACAGCAAAGACATTCGTGGTCGACAGACTTTTTTGTTATACCAATAACATACTGGTAATATAATATTCTATATTACAGTAATATTCTAGGGCTGTCACTAACGAATATTTTGTTAATTGAGTCAGTCGATTATTCTAACGATTAATCAAGTAATCTGATCATTTTGTGTGGTAATAAAAACAGACCTAAGCGACTTTAAAATGACTTAAAATACATATATAATAGCAATGAGGCAATAATAATTGGTTATTAAACAAAAGTTAAAACACATAATGTAATAAAACAATATAATAGTAACTTATGTACATTATGTATTATATCAAATGCCTGTAGAGGGTTTAAACTTTTATTTTGAAGTTGTGGTGAACAGTTAGCATAATGATGTGTTCTCCTGTGTTGGCGTAGGTTTATAAATGATTTACCTTATAAATCTGACAGAATGGTGCACATTGTTCCCAGATGAATGTTATAAGCAACTCAGACTCACAGAATATGCAAGGATGGAGTTTGAGACGGTCCGCGCATGTAAATGATAACTGTTTGTGTGGAGCAGCATTTACTGTGAATGGAGCTATAACCTAAATGCATATAAATAAAGGGCATATTAAACCCGCAGTACATATGTTTATTTAATTGAATTGCCTTTGTGAATTCACAATAGCTCTATGCTTTATTTTGAATTTTAAATGGTTTTAATATTTCGTGCAGCCTTAAAAAACGGACTAATAATGCTTTTCATGGATTCTCGTCCGTGGAAATCGCCACTTCCGGTATTTTGCTAGTTAATCGACACGGTGGAGGATTTTTTAATAATAGAGTACTTGGATTTAATCAAGGAATCGTGACAGCCCTAATATATTCTTCCTCCATTTATATTTATCAATGATCATTCTGATAAAGTAATATTTAGAATCATTTGTTTGTTGGATAGCATTTTAAATCTTTGAAGCATTTTCATTTTGTTCATGATTCTTTTTATGTATTCATAAAATTTGGTTTTTGTATTCATTAATACAATAATGTTACCAAGAGTTATAGTGAAAATCACTGAGATCTGAATAATGATAGAGCAGGTAAAGTTCTAAAATTGATATTTACCTTTTTTTATACAATGATTAAATGACTGAATAGTCATTATTTTAATGAGCATAATACATTATGAAATAGGCATTGCATTCATGATTGAAATAAATAGGCTTATACCTGTATCATATTTGATATTTTCAATATGATTAGTCTTTATAAACAATATATGAAACATTAAGCATAGTAATCATTAATTTTATAATATCAATAACTATTCATATAAATATCAATATCTGTTATTTTATTAAGTACTGATCATGATAATGAGGCTTTAGAAAACTATCAGGCAAATATGCATACTGCATTATAGGCTTAATATCGATTCATAATATAATAAACTATATTTTATATATATTTTTATTATAAGAACATACAATTGATTATAAAGCACAGAAAGCATTATGAATGCATTTGCCTTCCTGTAGCTGGGGGGAAAAAACTAGCAAAGCAAAGGTCATGGGTTTGATTCCCACGGAGAGCAAGTGATAAAAATGTGTACCTTGAATGCAATGTAAGTCACTTCGGAGTCATTACATGCATGCTTTTTATATACAGAGTAGACTGTGAGATGAGACATTGAGCTATGCTGTGTATTGCCCGTAGCACCTCTGGTGGACTCCAGTGTTCTCCCCAGTGGCTCTGCCATGCTGTTACTGGTTTCTCTGGGTCTGGTGGGATTGGCCATTGTCTTCATCTACAAGTTCAAACGGTAAGCCTTGCCTCTCCCAAATCTCCCAGTTATGCTCAACAAATCATGGGCTAATAATACACTGTCATTTTGATATGCCCTGGAAATACCAACCAATGCTGACAAATGGTGCTTGCTTACTTTATTGGCATCAGTGACTGTTTCCTCTTGATCTGGTCTACTTGGACTAAAAACAAAAACCCATACCATTTTTTTTCCACAACACTAGTAAAATCCCATGGATCCATGTGGAGACAGAGGACACCCATGAGAAGGAGCCCGAGATGATCAGTGCTGTCGGACAGGAGAAGAACGGCACGCGTACAACAGCCACTTCATTCACAACATGCAACGCACACACAACACAAACACCATTTCCCTCCAACACCAGAACACACAACAGCTTCAGCCATCTGCCACCTCCAAGAGAACTGATAGAGAAGGAGCTGGAGGCTCACAACACAGGTTAGATAAGTGATTATCCCATACACAATATTTATGCTAGGTTTTCTTGTTCTTAACAACTCTTGTGTAAACTCTTGTGTAGCATACTTATAAAAAGAGTGCTTTTTATGGAAACAATTTACTTTTAAAGAATATACTTGTGCAAACTGAATGCAATGTTTTTGAGCACTTAACTGCATGTTATTTACAATTAAATGAAAATCTATTGTAGTTTAAATTTATATGAAATGCAGTTTGTTAAACCTAAGAGTGATTTTTTTTTACTCATTTAATTAAGATGAAGTTGCAATTTAGTACATTTAAAATACAGTGGGTACGGAAAGTATTCAGACCCCCTTAAATTTTTCACTCTTTGTTATATTGCAGCCATTTGCTAAAATCATTTAAGTTAATTTTTTTTCCTCATTAATGTACACACAGCACCCCATACTGACAGAAAAACACAGAATCGTTGACATTTTGGGGTCTGAATACTTTCCGTACCCACTGTATATTAACTTTAAATGTAATATCAAAGCACACTACAGTAAAATTATAATTATGTACTTTACATGTGCTTTAGTATGTTAGTCAACATCAAAATAAGTGTACATCTTTAAAGCATGACAAAAGTTTAAAACAACAATTTAAAATGTACTTAATACAACTTTTAATTTGACATGATTACAAAGTGTACTTAAAAGTGTTAAGAAACGTGTAGCCTCTTTAAGCACACTTTAGTGGTCTTTTATATCATTATTAAAATGCTATCTACGAGTAAAGCTTTTTAAAAATATATTAAAGGGGTCATTGGATGCCCATTTTCCACAAGTTGATATGATTCTTTAGGGTCTTAATGAAAAGTCTATAACATACTTTGGTTAAAATTTCTCAATAGTAGCGTAAAACTTGCAAAGATTCATAAAAAACCCTTATACTCACTTCTTCTGTAGATGAAGCTGGATCATGAATGATTCGCGCGAACTTAAACACATTTTCAACAAAACACCTTAATCGCTTAATCGGAGACATTCGTGTATTCCCCTGCACTGGAGTCGACACAATGGCGGACAGCTCACAGCTCACTCAGGGCGGGTCTTAAGGTAAGACGGCCTTGTCAATATCGTGGGAGCGGCCTGTGCAGAACTACGTCATTCTGACCGGAATCTCAGAACAGAAAGGGGATTTTAAAATAGGGATTTAAAAAAAAAAACACTGGGTGGATTTTTATCATTATAGGGTGGATGTGTACACACACTAAGATTTGAAGTAAACAAGTACACATTCACTAAAATTAAGCACCCTTTTTTTTTACAAGGGAAGTCCTTTTCTGTCATCTTTAATGTTCATAAAGATGAAATTTGCATTTAAGGAGCATGAAGAGAGACATGCTTGTTTTTGTGTGTATCTGTTGTTTGTAAGCGTGAGGTCAGTGGATGGACCCCAATTCATTCATTCTACTTTTATTACTTTGCTGTCAGAGAAGGTGATTGTCTTCTGTGTGTCCCAGGACTTTTTGATTCACAGTAATCAAGGACTGATCCCATGACACTGAAGTGGAAACAAACTGCACCAATGTCTGAAATGATGATGGAAGGTTTGATGATGATATCAACTGTATTACATGTATAATTATACTTTTTTCCCTTAACTTTTTCTGTTGTTGTGGTGCTTATGCCTTTTTATTATTGTGGTGTTTTACATTTGAGCTCTATAAATGAACAATTTCTTAAGTGTTAATCAAGGCATTATAAATTACAGATGTAAATTAAATCAAAATCTCTATCGAAAGCAGTAGAATTATACATTATATCAGCACTTAAGGAGTAGTTTCTTTCACAATTCTTTCTTAAAACGATAATCAGAGAAACTGATCCTAAGCAGGGGCACACAATTCCTTTTGTAAACATAAGAGATCATTCTCCGCATGCTAACTTGTAGATATATAAGATTAACTGCCTCACATTTGTAAAACAGCTCACTTTTAGAGTTCACAAATCATGTTATACGCTTTCATACAGAAAAATCAATATTTAATCATTTGAAATATGCTTATAGCTTTATGTATGTTTATATTGATGCTTACCTCATCTGACTCTGTTAAGAGGTCATAAGGAGCATGGTTTTAGGGTTGAGTAGATATGGCACAAATAGAGGTTGGTACCTTCATCTGTGTAGAAGCCTCATCTGCTGAGCGCGTTCATTTGTGCCTTGGCAATGTGTGTTACTATTGTAAGTTGGCAACATATTCTTAATTTGGTTAGTATTCACAATACAGTATTCTTTAGAAGTATACTCATTTGGAGTGCATGTTTCATCGCTACTAATAACTGACAGCCAGTTTTATATTTGAATGTAAACTAAAAGTTACTTTAATCTGAATAAATGTATTTTTACATTAGTGACTGCCCACTGATTTTTTACAATGGATTTTCATGACATTTCTGTAACAATTGAATGGCCTGTGTATCCCAGTTTCTCAAGGCAATTTCCAAACAACCATCCTCTTTTCATTCCTCCAGTAAATAGCCCACAGAAGATGACTTGTGGCACTGAAAAATCTTTAATAGGATCACGTTAAATGAAAGGATACAAAAGAGATTCTCTACTGAAATGAAAGTAAACTGTTATTCGGCATAATCTGTATGTTGCACCATTCCAGGTATATTTTCTATTTTCTCTCAGTTGCTTTCCTGTGTTGAATTTTGGGTGGTGCCTTTTTTTCCCATTACGAAACATGAAACATGGTTTGCTACTTGCCAGTTATTGTCAGGTGGCATGAGTGGGAGGAACATTCTTATTCTAGAGAGCATTTGATTGGACAAAAACCTGAAGTGATCAGTCATTATATTATAGGGTATTTTCCCAAAAGAGAAAGACTGAACATTTTAATATTTGCAAAAGATTAATCTAATCAGTTTTTAAAGTACACTGAATGTTTAGAATAAATTAATACTTTTATTCAGCAAGGATGTACTAAATTGATAAAATTTTTATTATTTTTCAAAATAAATGCTGTTCTTTTGAACTTTCTATTCATCCAATAATTCTGGGAAAAAGGTTTTGACAAAAATATTAAACAGCACCACAGTTTTTAATATTGATAAAAATAATAAATGTTTCATCAGCACCAAATCAGCATATTAGAATCATTTCTTAAGGATCATGACACCGAAGAATGGAGTATTGGCTGCTGAAAATTCAGCTTTGCCATCACAGAAATAAATTATTCAACTTAATATGATAATATTAAAATAGAAAACAATAATACTGTGAAATATTACAATAAAAAAAAAAAAACAGTTTTTAGTGTCAGTAATTTTTGATCATATAAATGCAGTCTTGGTGAGCATAAGATACTTCTCTCAAAAACTTTACAAAATCTTATTGACCCCAAACTTTTGAATGGTAGTGTAGTTAAACTAACAAGACAAATATTTCATTGAGCAAATTCATTAATCATCAGTTCTGACAGAAAACTCCAAATCGAAATGGTTCAGTACTTTAAGAAGGACACAGAGAGTGCATCTGGTGAACAAAACAGGAAATAAATAAAAGTGTTCAGTATGTTACGGTTTTATGACTCCGGGGTCTGCTGAAGCTGTTCAAAGACTCCGTACACAAAGAAAATGCAAACAGGCATCTATTCAATATCCACCCGTAAATGTGCAGGCTGCTGGTCTGGACAAAGGCTGTCTAAATATCCTGCACCACAGTAGCCTTTAGAATGTCATATTTTTCATCATTTTAGCTCTCTCTCACATAAACACACCACGCACAAACACAGGTACAATCACAGATGACTCTAAGCATTTTTCAAAGTTTGTATGGTTGCATTTGAAAATTAAAGTTGAGTAACATGGACAAAAGAGCACTCTGCCTGAAACAAAGTTAGCTTTATCTCGTCCAGGGAGCCCTAGTGGTCATGTTTATGTGATAAGGGAGAGAAGGGTAGGATAAGAGCTTGAGTGATTTTATGGTATAGCACACAGAGCTTTGCCTCCAAGGACTGTGTCGCTTCCTTTAGAATCTCATTTACCATTATGATTGAATGTAAAGCAAAGAAAATAGTTGGATGTCTCACCACACATTCTACGCTAAGTGTTTTGTATTTTGTTGTGATGGGCCTACTTTAAATTCAGTCAATATTCACATGTGGCCGGCTTAATTGCAAGTTAATGAGACCGTACGCAAATTGTAAAACTACATGTCCCATGACACTGTACATCACATTATTGTGCAAACTTGTTTTGCTATGTATGATTAAAAATGTCCAGCTCTGCTCAACTTAAACTAAAATAATGTATTTTGCCAGTTTTATTTTCCCAACTTGTGCATTTATGGATCTGTGTGAACATTAATTGCTAAAAAATTAATAAGCCATTATTGTGACTTTTGTGACTTTGTGACGTGACTATACTTATTATACTTATTATACTATACTGTCAGCCAGGGAGCGGTGCTATAAAATTCAGGTTTCAGACTTTCTGAAGTTTATGTATTTCAACTTCCGTTAACTTTTGGAAAAAGACAGACAGCTGTCACTTTAGTCTGAAAAATGAATCTATGTCAGAGTGATTGAGCTTCGGCTGTGAGTATTTCTTGTGTTACTTGCTGTAGCTGACGGACTGTTAGGTTTCAACCTTTCCTGCCAGACTCATCACTGCCACGTGTGAAAAAGATTTAACATTTTCCAAAGGTCATCCTGAGCTTTCAGAGATGGTGAAACACTGATAAATTCAGAGGGATTATTTAATGTCTGATGAATTATTAAAAAGGCCTGTTTTGGTTTGAGTACTTCCGTCTCCTCCATCTGTCATTACTTATGGAGTTCACCTCACACATGACACATTCATCAGGCCCATTTCAATTCAGTGCCATTTTGACTGGTGCAACGGTTACAAAAAACTATCTTGTTCATTTTTTTCATGCACAATCATTATTCATGACCTTTATAAATGTATAAAAAATAATATAATGAATAAATAAAAAAATACAATGAAATGAGATGTTGTCACTGAGTTGT